TTTGGTAAAGTAAATCCGTTGGGCATCTTTCTTTGCCTTTAGACAATAATTCTGATGGCAAAAGAGCCAAACGGGACAGGCAAAAAAGAAAAAAAAAGACTTTTGTATTTTAATGCACTACTTAAATGTAGTTAATTTCTCCCCTTTCCTTTAAAATACCTGATATTCTGTAATACTAATAAATAAGTCATGAACTTTATAAAATTACTTGTGCACTACTTAAAATTAAATTAAATAATTTCTGTTTTCTGTAAAAACCTGACTTCTCACCCCATTATTCCAGTGTATCTGCTTTAAGTTATTGCAGTCAAATAACTACACTGAAATTAAAAATAAAATACACTGAAATGCAGTTTAATTGCAGGGGAATTATGCCACTAGTCTCCGATGAGGACAAAGGACTCATCCCGTCGTGACACATTAAAAAAGCAATATATTTGACCTTACTACGAAATAAATATGTTTTATGTCAGATGCAGCTACAGGGGATGATTGAGAGCAACTTTTGCAATAAAAGAGCCTTTAATCTGGGACAAAACGTTGTAACAGCTGCAGACAGGTTGTTTGTGTGTGCCTCACTTTAGTGCAAAAGCTGCACTCAGAAAAGGTGCTTTGTGAGGCTGAACAGCGATCAATCACACAGGGAATGAATATCCCAAAGTTCAAGTGGGTCAAGAGAAAAATCAAAAAGCTGAGTCCAGTCTTCTGCTCAGTTGCTTCCCTCTAGCTCCAGTCGAGGCCCCAGATTCGGGAGCTGTTCGTCCTCACTTTGATCCTTAGGCTGGTAAATCATATTCTGGTAAATTGTATTGTCCACCGGGGTTAGGATTTTGCTTGGTGGCTTGTTGGGGCGTGGAGGGCCCTGCTGTGATGAGAGCAGTGGCTTTTGAGAGTCTCTGTGTCCTGAAACAGGTTTATATGTTTCTTCATAGTTGCCAGTCTCTGCACCCCTTTTCAGCAGGTGTGTGTAGACGAGAGTGTCATCAATCTCTTCGTACACATGGGACTCATCATCTTTACAAGTCCCCAGCACGTCTGGGGATTCGTATCCTGGTAAGAAGTTGATGCCATTAGGATTATAGACAGCAACTTCATAATTGCCTTTCTTCTTCTTCTTCTCCTTCTTCTTCTTCTTGTTCTTCCTGTTTGGCAGGAGAAAAGAGAAGATTGGGATTATTTTCTGTTTTATTCAGCTATTGATGGGTCATCCCCTTTGAAAACACACTAAATAATAGAAATACTCACCTAATCATTACAACTAGCACTATGACAGAAATGACCAGCAGAGTAGCCACTACACCCAGGATGATGGTTAAAGGTGCTATAGAGGAGAAACAATTAACTTGGTTAACATTTGGATCACATTTTCGACTGTGCAGTGGTTGTAAAAAAGAATTCAACAATAAATAGAATTGCTGAAGCTGGAAAATCACTCAATTATCGTTTATCCTCCCGAGTGTGAAGCTACACTACAGCCTCATATTCCTGTGGTGCCTTACACCAAATGCTAAAGTTATCAAGCTGATGTGATCTGGTCACAGTGCTGCAGTTCTTTTTGTCATAAACCAAAGTCTTGGAAAAATCTGGACCTAGTGATGACGAGGTTTTACCCAGACCATCAAGTTTGAAATACCTTCCTAACCTGTTTGCTCTGGGGAGTCATGCTCAAA